TCTGATTTCTTACCTGTGAAGAGCAGAAAGTGGAACCACGCAGCCATTGTATTGTTATTGCTGAGACCCCTTCTCAGGCCGGTGGGACTCTCTATTTTCCTCTATTTGGCCCTTCTCAGCCCGGACACAGCTCAAAGAATCCTGCCAGAAAAACAAAACACATATATATGAGAAGGGCAACTAAACTAATTAAGGGGCTGGAGGACCTAAGCTATGAGACAAGGTTACTAAATCTAAACATGGTCACGCTGGAAGTGAGGAGATTAAGAGGGGACATGATTTTCATGTACAAAATGTTTGGTGGTGATGGCAACATCAGCAATAAACTTTTTACAGTAAACTCCATAACATAGACTAGAGGCCACCACCTAAAACTGGTGGAGAAAAGATTTAACCACAAGGGGCGTAGGGGCTTCTTCTCAGTTAGAGCGGTCAGGGTCTGGAACTCGCTGCCACAAGCAGTGGTATCAGCGGAGAGTATTGAATCATTCAAAAAGCATTTAGATACCTTCCTCAGAGACCGTAACATTCAGGGGTACAGGTACTCTTAAAAAACTAGACCACACAGGGGCTTGTGTACACACACACACATACACAATCACATACAGACACACAAAGGTTGAACTCGATGGACCTGTGTCTTTATTCAACCTCCAATACTATGTAACTATATATACGATCTTTATCTTCAAGAAAATAAACTTTCCATCTCACCGTAATGATTTGCTATCTGGGTAATACAACTCATTTAGGGCCCATGCTGACCTTGGCATCCTGGTGTGTTATCGCCCCTTTTTTTGCATGTTGAAAATAAATGGGCTGGCAATTAATAAAAGGTCAAAAAGAAAATGACGCGCACCATTTTTTGGCAACACGGAGCATTGTGGTGAACTGCATTGAATGTGCTTTTCAGCAGGTTGAGTTGGCATTGAGGGTTGTTTTGCTGGTCATACAAAAATGCTCCAGGGCGACTACAACAAGGTAATTGCACAGGGAGCTTGAAGCTCTAGTTTTACCATTGGAGCTATTAAAGAATACTAAGAGGCTGATTTATAAATCTTTGTTCACGTGACATTACCACTGCTAGATGGACCCGAGGAGCATAGAAAATGACTATACTCCTCAGCGCCATCTTGTGGAGAAAGTATTGTGTGAACAGCATCTGTCCAGCTAAATCAGCCCCTAAGAGTCATTTATGAGGGCAGTTGCCCTTGCAACATCAGTTTGGACTTACCCTTTAGGTGATCCTAACTGTATCAAAGATTAGGTAGACTCAATTTAGTATGTTTCACTTCTACACCTTGTAATTCTATTGCTGTTTATGCCTATTAGGATGATCTTTTCTGTAAAATATTTCATTTTCTTTTCATTAAATGTTCTTTAAAAATCATTATGCTCAATCACTGAATGCTCTAAGTTGAAATTGAGAAACTCTGAGAAGAATCTACCATAGTGTAAAATCTTTTACATTCCTGTCTGGGTGTGGCAGCGAGTGATACAGACATTTTTTTAAAGGTCAGAATTTCAACAGTGGATACCGTCATAAAGCACATGATGACAGCTACCACACGTGTGTATGTGTATGTAAGATTATTGACCTGTCTCTGCACAGGGTGAGGCTGGGTGTGTAGGTCGCACTCTCATGTGATCCTTATCACACTATTATAACCAGCGTTGCTGTGCCACAATTGTAATTATTTAAAGTGTATGCATACTCTTGACGACAGTAGGGAAGGGTTAAATCCCCAGTTTTGATTTTAGGTACACTTTAAATATGAGAGCATACTGTCCATGGCGCACAATTACATTCCTGCTTTACCAATCTGTCCCGTGTATCTATGACCCGGCCCAGCCTGAAATTCTTGTGATTTCCTGTAAAATGGGTCAGTTGTGGCCCATGGTTTTCACTCTGAAGTCAGGTCTCTATTATTATATTTATTGTTTACTGGTGAAGTCGGCAATGTTGTGAAAATCTGATCTTCACTTTTTGTTTATGGGATTTTTATTTGTTTTATTTGTTTTACGATGTCGGTTCTTTTCTTTATAAAACAAAACGAAATGAAGCCAAGTTCACACCTGCGCGATCCACGCGTCAAATGTGCACAATACCGTGCGGATTGCTCTGCGGTCACAGAGTCGCCCATCACGGCCCAATAATTTTTAATGGCACCCCAGTCGCCATTATAGTTCCCACCGCGATTCCGCCTGTGTAACTGAACTCGAACAAGCCTAAAATAGCCGCACGACGTGTGTCGCAAAAAAAGGTACATGTACCTTTTTTTTCAGCGATTGCCACTCGTATGTAACCCCATTAAAATCAATGGGGCAGCGCGGCAATCGCAGTGTGCAATTGTGCAAGATTGCGCGGTCCCGGGGCGCACGTCCCGGATCGCACAGGTTTGCACCGACCCTGAGACTAATGAGGGGCAATATTTTGGACATTCTTTGGAACTCCTTATCCCAACCTGTCCGTCTATCTCCCACACTGACTGCCTTTAGGCGTTCCCTTAAGACTCATCTCTTCAGGAAGCCTATCCCACCTCAACCTAACCGCTGAACCTTCACGTTCTCATACAATTTATTCCCACGCAGCTACCTCCTCATGTATCACTGGCCCCTCCCTTTTAGATTGTAAGCCCTCAGGGGCATTGTTCCCCTTACCATCTTGTCTTGAATTGTATTGTAATTGTGATGTCTTGTCATTATTTTTTTGGGGGAGGGATTTTCAGAACATAAAATGTTCAGCATCCAAAACAGATCGGTAGAAAACAGAAACTGGTACAAAAGACCATGAAATAAAATAATACACAATACTTTGTCGTTATTAAAGATAAAGTAATACAACAAGTATTGTTTTCTTTCAGGACAAACAATATTTTTTTTGGTGATATCGTCTTGCAAAAAATATTTTATTTCCTACCTAATCTATTAGACAAAAAGATGTAAAAAAAACTTTTAATTTTAAAAATGCACTTTTTTATTTTGACTAATAGGTAAAAAAAATAGTGTTACTGTAGATAAAAAAGTATACACTTAATTTTATTATTTGTCACTAAAATGATGTTTCTATTACAAAGCAGAGAAATTTCAATGCAAAGATTTGTTTTCAATTTTGTGCATTAAAACAAGATGCAAACTAAGAAAAAACAAAAAAAAAAGATCAAATATTATTGGCTAAATATATATATAAATAATAAGGGGAGAAAGGGGAAATTATTTATTTAGGGCTGATTAGGGTTAACTTAGATGTAATAAGAGGTTACATAGAGATACATTTTACTAAAAAAAAAAACTAACTTTTTCTTTTTTTATTTGTCAGTTTGCTTTAAAGGAGAATTATGAGGCGAGTGATTTTCACTCAGCCTCATAATCTGAGCCAACCTGTGACCTGAAACTGTCAAAGGTCGGCTCAGTAGATCGGGAAGTGAGAAAACACATACCGCGCTCGCTCACTTCTCAATCTATCCGTGCAGAGAGCCGTGACTGTCACTCACAGCTCCCTGCAGGGATTTCCCCCCTCCCTTGTCTGATCCTCCAGCGTTGACTGGCGGAACGGACGGGGGAGGGGGCTGGTACAGCTGGCTCTGCTTCTAGATAGGCAGAGCCAGCTGTCACTCACGCAGCTGGGTGGATCCTGACAGAATTGTTGGGATCCGTTACGGCTGCGGCGTCTCAGTATACCGCGAGCTGTAGCTCCCTATATACTGAGCCTAGGGTGACGGGAGGACGCTAGTTTGTGTCCTTCCGTTACCCTTAGGAGAGCTATGGGGAAAAGCCTTAACCCCATAGTTCTCCTTTAACTGACTCCATATGCAGATTGAAGCTCTGCCCTTTGATCTGCAGATGAATGCAACACTGTAAATACAAAGTCACAATAATGTTACTTTGTATCTCTGAAACAGCCACTTAACAGTGTTTACAAGCACTGATAAGAAGGTTCATTTTTTTGACAGTAGTGCCTAAAGCCAGCTAATGCAGTTACACAGCAAAGCCCGGCTGTCATTTTGACATCTGTGAATTGCTGGTTTAAGTGGAGGGTGAACGGCGTGTGCTATGTACAACACCCTGTGTACTTCAGCGACTTTTTGTAATGAGTGCATAGCTATTAGTATACAAGACTGGTTAAATATTCCATTATTTAAAGGGACTTTTCAGCTTGGAAATTTCTGGGCTGCCACTAGTGCTGTATTTTTGGAGGTGCAAATTTTGAGACTGTTATCTTTATACTTCCTTCGTAGTTGGTGACCTGACATCTAATAAGAACATTTTGTTCCGAGCCTGTGACTCACAAGTCAGTGATGGAAGAATACAGAAGATTTAGTACAATCAGCGATCTTATCTCTGTCCTGACAGGTTCATTATGAGATAATTATAAAATAATGATCAATCAGGTTTTCATGTGAAACAAGAATGAATATTTATAAGATTCAAATATATAT